TACCGGCGTCAGCGTAGTTTGCTACGCTGACGACACGCTGGTACTGGCACAAGGGGGGTCGTACGAGGCGGCGGCGGAAACTATGACACGCGGGGTTGCGATAGTCGTTGAGAGGATCCGGCAACTGGGTCTCGAGGTGGCTCTGCACAAGTCCGAGGCCATGCACTTCCATGGTCCTCGGAACAGGCCACCACCGGGATCCTCAGTGATGGTAGGAGGGGTATCCATCGGCGTCGAGTCGACGTTGAAGTACCTAGGACTCGTCCTCGACGGCCGATGGAACTTCGTTGAGCACTTCCGACGTTTGGCTCCCAAACTGGAACGGACCGGGGCTGCCTTCAGGCGGCTCCTGCCGAACCTGGGGGGGCCAAACGCCTCCTGCCGGAGGCTCTACGCGGGGATCGTGAGGTCCATGGCCCTTTACGGGGCCCCGGTGTGGGCGCGTGGTTTGGCGCGGCTTGCCGTCCACCACCTAAACGCGCCCCAAAGGGTGGTTGCCGTAAAGATGGTTCGCGGCTACCGCACGATCTCCCGCGAGGCGGCGAGCCTCCTTGCCGGATTGCCGCCATGGGATCTGGAGGCGATAGTCCTCGCGCGCCTGCACGAATGGCGCGCGGCAGCACTATGCCGGGGGGAAACCCCGCTGCCGCGGCAAGTTGTCGCGCAGCGGACAGACTTCCGGCATGATCTCATGGCGACATGGAGAGAGCGACTGTCGCAACCCCGTGCTGGGCACGCCACTATAGCGGCGATAAGACCCCTCTTTGAGGAGTGGCTTGAGAGACGCCACGGCGTCCTCACCTTCCGCCTGACGCAGGTCCTCACCGGACACGGTGTGTTCGGGAGGTTCCTGCACCGAATCGGGCGGGAGGAAACGCCCGGGTGCTCCCACTGCGAGGATCGACCGGAGGACACGGTGGAGCACACCGTGGAGGTGTGCTCTGCTTGGGCGGAGCACCGCCGTGTCCTCGTAGCGGCGATAGGCGGCGGCGACCTCTCGCGTCCGGCTCTGGTCGAAGCCATGGTCCGGAGCGAGACGGAATGGGATGCCGTCACCACCTTCTGCGAAGCAGTGATGCTAGCGAAGGAGGTGGCGGAGCGGGAGAAGGAAAGAGCAACAGCTTTCCTTCCCGGCCGCCGCGGGAGACGCCCCGGGCGTCGGGGGCTACGTCGTGGCCCCCGACCACCGTAGGCGCGGGCCTGTGGACGGCGAGCAATGGGTAGCTCACCGTCCGTCCGTCTAACGACGACAGGCCGTGTCGACGGCGCGTTTTGTTCCACGCGCGCCTCAAAGAGCTGTCAGCAGCGTGAAGGGGCCCGCAAGGGCCGACGCCTGCCGGGGCTGCGGGCTGTTCGAAAGAGATACCGCGGCTCCGGAACGTAAGGGCACTGAAGGAACACGGATGGTTTTTAGTCAGTAAAAGTCTGACACTCCCTTCCGCTCCACCCACAGCGAAAGGCGTCATTAGATGATTTTCCATCCGCAAAAAAAAAAAAAAAAAAAAAAGGGCATGCTAGTCGCATTACTGTAATAAGTCATATTACTTCTATCATGTATATTATATACTATGTATCGCCTCATAGGACGTATATCTGCCACAGTTCCATGCTTAATTGGTGGATTGGCGTCTTCAGTTCTTTATTATTTGGAATTATTAATATTAAGAAGATGCTGTTATAGTTATTCTATTTCACGATGAAGGTTCGACTTTGGTTGTGTTAGCCGTGCATATACACATTATGTTGATGTGCGTAGGCTGCGGGCGGTCGGGATTAGCGCTCCCGGAGCCTACGCACCTCCCGGGGCCTAAAGTGTATGTGCACGGCTAACAACAAAAAATGTCAAACCTTCATCTTCAAAAATAACTATACCCATCTCCTGTTTCAGATTCTCTCTATAGCCTTCGACGACACCAACGGGATGATACGTCTAGTGGATCCTTTTACGCCGCCACTACACGGTAAACATTATTGTAATTATTTTTACTTTAATATTATTAAAATCGCATTTTACCTCACTCGGGATGCAGCTATTGTATAGTTTGACTTTGAATTGCTTTGACAAACGAAGATAATGAGCATGGTATTAGCTCAGCAAAATAAAATTTATGACAATAAAGATATGTTTCAATTGTCATAAAATTTACTGACGTTTACAGATAGGTAGCGATTAAAACTTAGGTAGGGAGGGCTCTTTCAATATAAAAAATATGTTCTCTGCAACTAATATTCCTCTTCTTCTCTTTCAATATTCTTCAAAGCTTTAATGAATAACATGAGCATCTCTCGTTGCAGGGAGAATTTTTTTTTTATAAAACTAAAGTGACGAAATTACAGTCCGCAGTTACAGAAAGTTGCTATTGCGTTCCATGACACCTACAACCAACTTCAAACAAACAAGGCTGCAAATTCGTTGTCACCTCTGAAAACTAATACGGAGTCCCTCACACCCTCTAATTAGTGCCAGCTCCTTCCACTTGACCGCATCCAGCACAGAGCGGCTAGAATCGTCGACGACCGAGCCCTTTCCGATCGGCTCGATTCATTGGCACTGCGAAGAGATGTTGCATCCCTTTGCATTTTCTTTCGCATCTACCATGGGGAGTGCTCTGAGGAAATGTTCGGATTAATCCCAGCCGCCAAATTTCACGAACGCACATCGCGGCAGAACTCCCGATACCATCCACACCATCTGGATGATTGGCGGTCCACCACTGTGCGATTTAGAAGATGTTTTCTTCCTCGCACGACTTCCTTGTGGAATCGATTACCATCAGCGATTTTTCCGGACCGATACGACTTAGGGACCTTCAAGAAAATAGCGTACTCCTTTTTAAGAGGCCGGCAACGCATCTGCAATTCCCTCCCTGGTGTTGCAGTTGTTCATGGGCGGCGGTAGTCACTTACCATCAGGTGAGCCGCATGCTCATTTGCCCCCTCTCCTATAAAAAAATTATACTGGTTCTCTGACCTTTCGATCTGAACACAGCTATTTGACGGCAAAAATAGCTAAGAGGTTAGGTTCTCTCTGACAGATACTAATCCAGACGAAATCCCAGGCAGAAAAGAAGACCTACTACTATAGATACGTTGTAGAGCATCGTTGCATCTATATATTTTGGTTGTAGTAAGAATAGATTGGGTTGACCGCGGAAGGACCACGCCCTCACAGAATACCAGCGTAAAATAGCAGAGTAATGCTGCTTTGTTTCGTATGGTTAGTGTAGGGAACCGGAGACCTTTTTTACTAGAAATGATTCATTTCATCTCAATCCTCAGAGGTGTCAACACATCTGCATTTTGATTCTTAACTGAGGATAGATGAAGATATCTATGGGCCATAGTATCCACTTACAATCAGGTCGACTATGTGTTCCTGTTTTTTCACCTTTATTCTATATAAAAAGAAGTACTAGTCTTCTCTCTTCATCACCGTTCTGGGTATTCTACATCTGGCTTATAGTATAGTATGTTCGCTTAGATACGGTGCCGCATCTTGACAAAGGCGCCACCGCGACATCAAAGGTCTCCGCGTGTAGCGTACACCCGCAGGACAATTTAGCATTTTAAAACGAAGCGCCGTAGTGAAAGTTTCTTTGCTAGCTAACTTGTGTTTAGTATTTATATTCGTATTTTATTACAATAACCATAAGAATAAGTAAGTATTCAATTTTATGCTTAGAATAGAAAATTATTTATTTAACAAACACAGTACAAAATAATAAAATAATGGCAAAATAATAAGTGTGCCTCCGGATATACCGAAACTTTCTTAGTGAACAAACTATACATGTTAGAGATGTTTTTAGCCTTTCACATTGCCGAATTTTACGACACCCGCGGGACGAAGTAGTCTTTTAAGCCTCTGTCGCATAATAACTTAAATTAAAAATTTCAAAAACCCCCAGAACAAAAAGAGGTGATGATTTTCAAACGGCTACAAAAACCGATTTAGTGAGCTAAGTTTTAAGAAAATCTCTTCTTAAAACTTAGCTCACTAAATCGGTTCATCCGTTTGGGAACTACGATGCCATAGACAGAAACACAGATACACAGATACACACGTTAAACATATACACCCCTCTTTTTTGGTGGGGCTTAAATATGTTTGGCTTGCCCTGTTCTCTAACCCTGGGCATGGCATTGGGTGACTATGTAATAACTTTGTCCTGAATCATTACTTCAGCCTAATAAGTGTCATAAAACTGTCTTCATTTCGATTTCTTTTATTTACGCGAATACTACAGATTAATTAAAATCTATACAATTAGTTTCATTTAATTTTACGGATTTCTTTGCCAGTGCCTTTTAATATTGTTCATGAAAAATATTTAAAATCGGTCCAGTTTTGGAGGGTGAAAAAGTGGATACGAGATAATGATTTCATAATTTTTCATAGATATAATCCTCATACAATAATAATCAGTCCGTGCTGCATGTGTCTCTCTGGCTCTGCATTGACTAGCTTCATCATTCGGGCACGACGCGACATCAGTAGATCTGCAAACCTGTTCTTAAAATGTCTTTATTAGCAACGATTACAGTAGCTATTAAATTATGTAAAAATTACTATACGCAAACAGGTATTCGGTACTACACATTAAATTAAACTAACATATTTTATAGCGGTTAAATTCAACTTTAAAAATGTTTTGTTTTTACAGTTGAAGAAACTGACATTAAATGCGATAAAATCCGTCAAATTAGTTTTATTTAATATGTTGTATTCGGGTAAATATAAGAAATAATTTTGGGAATTTATTTTTTGTTCTTTTTAGTTTTTTGAAGTCGCTTTATTACTTGATTTTTTAAAGTTCAATTGTAACACTAAAATTTTGACCAAAAAAAAAGTAGTAAGTATATTCGTCTTTAACACTGTAACACTTAAAGATTTTTTTTTGTCAACCTTACTAAGCTAAACAATAGAACACCTATCGATTTAAAGATAATGAGATAAAAGGCCAATAAATTATATAAAGGCACCAACAACATTAGGTCTTAATGAGATTTGTTTATCAAAAATACCATGGCAGGAGAGAAAGTAACACAAGCAATTTTTTTGATATGGTAAGTAATTTTTTTTAATATAATAATTATGAACGTCTTTTTAAAAAAGGTTACTACTCAGATAAGAAATGTATCCTGTACCTACTGTGGAGGCTTTTTGCCTGAGCAATTATTTGTAGCCATAAAATGACTTGTTCGTAAAAAATCAAACGCGCGGCAAAACGACTACGCCCTGTGAATTTGAGCCACCATTTATTTGAATGACTTAAAATATATATATTCTGTATGAAACTGAAATGACCAATGATCTAACAGTAAACCTGAAGGTAAGTGGATACTCCGTGGACACCTGCCGCCAACTTCAAACAAAGAAGACTTCAGATGCGGTGTCACCTTTGAGCATTAAGATGTGACGTTGTCAGTGACAGTGACAGTAATTATATACTGGGTCTCTATCAACGATATATATAAATTTAAAAAAAATAAAAATAGTTTATTCAGTAAATGATCATACATTAATTATAACCGGGGACGGGGTCTCCTTTTAAGTATAAAAACTTGTGTTAGGAGACTCCGCTCTTCCATAGCACTTACATTAACTACTTGCATGACCTTTATACATAATAATTAACTATATAAATTAAGATAATAAAAGTAATTACATTCACGCCAAAGGTGCGTTTATGCGCAAACGCGTGCGTGCGTGCGTGCGTGCGTGCGTGTGTGTGTGTGTGTGTGTGTGTGTGTGTGTGTGTGTGTGTGTGTGTGTGTGTGTGTGTGTATGTGTGTGTGTGTGTGTGTGTGTGTGTGTGTGTTACAATTAAATTACATTATTTTATGATGCTTAAAAGAGCCTCAGTATCATCATAGCTCTTATTCAATAGCCATTTGGTTAGAGCATATTTGCAATTTCGGTAATTAAGGTGGTAAATATTTATGTTTTTATTAATGACGTTGTATAGAGTCGCAGACTGTTTTACATATTGCCTCCTAGCTAAAGCGGTTTTAACAGTGACGGCAGTAGCTGCTAGGTTTTTCCTTCTTTTGGCTACAATACAACGGTCAAACTTTATACCTTTATGCAGTCTTAGAACGGAATATAAGATGTACAGTTTCCTAACAGTGAGTACATTACTTATAGCATAGAGATCTTCTGTTGGGAATCTTTTTGGTTTAAAATGCATAATTTTTAACAAATTTCTCTGTGCCCTTTCAACTTCTAAAAACTTAGTTTTAGTAGCACCACCCCATACAGGAATACAATATACTAAAATAGACTGTGCCAAAGCAATATATATTTGGTAAACTAAATTTTTCGTAGCGATATTTCTTAGTGTTTTAAATGTCCAAGTAAGTTTCCTAAGTCTATTCATGATTAATTCAATGTGCCTATGTCATGACAAATGTTGGTCAACTATGACCCCTAGATACTTGGTCTCAGAGACCTTACAAATTAATGAACAGCGGCAAATAGTACTTAAGGGATCATTGCATGTGTGAAGTTTAATTTGGAAATTGATGTTAGGTTGAGTTCGAATATAATTTGTAAAACATATAACAGGTTTTCAAAGTATTTAAAGTAAGTAGGTTAGAGTTCAGCCACTTGGCGATCCTCGCAAGTCCTTCTTCAGCAGATCTACGTACAGAATCCCAGGAGTCACCAGTAAATATTACTGCAGTATCATCTGCATAGGAGATTATGTGGCCTTCGTTAATGTGCATATTAGTTAGATTATTTATGTAGACTAAAAATAATGTAGGACCCAAAACACTGCCCTGTGGTACTCCAAACGTTATATCAGATTCCTCGCTTAAGTATTCACCTATCTTTACTTTCTGCTTGAGATCCTTAAGATAGTTTTTAAATAAATCTAAGGGAATACCCCTTATACCCAAATCCTCAAGCCTGTGTACAAGGATAGGAACAGAAACGGTATCGAATGCTTTCTTAAGATCTAAAAATACGGTTAAGCATTTTTTCCTATTGTCTACTTTATTTACAACAAAAGAAGTTAATTCCAAGACGGCATCTTCCGTAGAAAGTCCTTGCCTGAAGCCATATTGAAAGTTAGATAAAATATTATATTTGTGGAGATAATTTATTAACCTTACATTTATTAACTTCTCAAGAATTTTGGAGATGGCAGGTAAAACAGAAATGGGTCGATAGCTACCTACGTCATCCCTGTCGCCATTCTTGTACACAGGAGTTATAACTGCTTTTTTAAGGGCATCTGGAAAGATTCCCTTATTAAAGCACAGATTAGCCAAGTGGGTGATCACTGGAACAACAAACTCATATGCCATCTTAAGGAATTCGCCCGATATGTTATCCCATCCGGGGGCACTACTAGATTTCAGCTGCATTAATATACTGTATACTTCCTGAGCGTGAGTTTCCAATAATACAAAGATTCAAATATATGTCTATGTAGTATATGTAGTCAAATATATGTACTACAACACACTAGATTTCGCATTCCGAAGATTGACTATGTTCAACTCAACTGTACCAAAGAATATATACACTATACTGCAATCCGTACAAACTAAATATTGCGTAAATTGAAGATTTGTGAATTCCATAATTATTATTACATTTTATTTAGAAGTATGTTTGTTTAGATTAAAATAAAATATTTTATATTAAATTCTAATATTTATTTTATATTAATATGTTATTTTATATCAAATTAGCCTTCGCGCATGCGCGACTACCACTCCCGCGCATGCGCGAAGACAATAGAGTAGGACACAATTTTTGTTTGGAATGGCTTCTCTAGTACGTAGTACATATTATAACTCAATGGTCTCTATACACTTCAGAGTAAAACACAGTAATGGCAGAACTAATGTTTGGCGGCAGAAATAAATAAGATGGTGGTACCCACCCAGACTAACTCCTAGATAGAAAGGAGTCGTACCACCAGTAAATAATTTGTATGTCATGTTATTATTTAAAAATCTGCAACACCAATATTTTGCAACAGTAATGAACTTGTAATGTCGCATTTTTCAAACATGATTACTTTCAGAGGTGCTATAAATGGTAGAATTTTCATAAGCATACACTCGTTGAAGCCCGAACTAGTCAATTCGAGACAATAGGTATGCAAAACAATATATTTCTATAATTCTTTGCGAAACGCCTCTATTCATAATCTTTTATATATAAAAATAACGTGTTACATTGTTTGTCCGCGATGAATTCCTAAACTACTGAACTGTTTTCAATGAAATTTTGCACACTGCGTTTACATTGGTCCAACTTGAGAGATAGGATAGTTTTCATCCCGATAAGTGACCCTGAATACTTCTTTTTTTTTTGCAAATTTAAGGATTTTTTATAAGACAAAGATAGGAAAGGGAAAACATCGTCTGCCTGGCCAGCTAGTTGTAATATATAAATTAAAAATAAATCGCTTTCAGCCACGTAATCGATTAATATGCTGTAAAAGTTTCTGGGTTAACATAAAGAAAGTTAGATACAAATAATCTTCATCAGATAATAGAGACTGAAAATAAATAAAATATTAGTGCTAATACTAAGTCTAAATATTGTTGCTACTTAAATTTCGTTTCTTGAGATAATATATCGACTACATGCCTTTTAACTGGCGACGATGCGACATCTTAATCAACGCATCTCTTTTGATTCTGAAATCTGAATCAAAGATAAATGTAGGATAATAAAAGACGTGTTTATTGGCCATAGGGTACACCTCTTACTTACTCGCGTATCCACGTGCCCGTATGTCACTTTGATTTCTATGAAAAATCATCAGTGTCAATCATAGATTTTAGTATAGACAACACTAAAATTGAATTTGATAAACAGTTTAGAAACATAGAATAGAAGTAAATAATGGCTTGTAATTAAAAGAAAGAACCATGAGCAGTAGGGGAGATGCGTGCAATATGATCCCCCTTAGAGAAAAACTACTGCGCTAGAAGTTTAAGATAAAAACACAAGTAAGTATGTGTTTTATTAGTTTCGTCACATGTATGTGGTTTATTAGTTACGTCATATTATCTAAAATTTTAGTAAGGGATCGTTTTATACACATGTATCTATGAAACGATCCCTGGGGATCCTTATATACATACGATATTTAATATTAAGAAAATAAAACACCCAGCTGTATATAAAAGATGTAAGCGTGGAGATCAATTTTTTTTAACTTGCTACTACATAACTAAACTAAATCAACATAATTAAACTAAACAATTGTAACAAAAGTTTTAAGGTTTATAGAATTAACAAACTATAACTAAACAAAAACTGTTTTTATAAATTAAAAAAAATAACAATAAAGCCTCTTTAAGGTCTTGTAAAGTCTTCTTCATCGCCACTGTCTATATCTGCACAAGCCTCGTGTCTCCATTTCAGGCACACAACCCATCTTATCCACCCTTCACCTTTATTCTCTTTAGAATGGGTTTCGATACAGAACAGGCGATACCCCGTGTAGGGGCGGAAAAGAATACTCACTACCCCATGTCTTCCCGTGGGTGTCGTAAGAGGCGACAGAGGGAAACTGAGGCAGAGAATGGGCAGCAGCATCTTTCTGATAATAGCAAAACAGTAATAAAAAAACTGCCGTTACCAAATCGCTCGCCAAGCGTGTGCAACTATGGCAATATACACCCCATGAGAGTAACGAAGATACGGCCCCCAGTCCCCGGCGGCCCCGCTATTCTTGGCTACGGTGGCGACCATGGTAACGGCGGGGCAGGGGGTGCTAAGAATCTCTGGTGGAGGTTCGGTTGCCACCTACGACGACTCAACCTGGCAACATACAACGCACGCACCCTGAGGACTGACGAGAAGATCCTGAAGCTGGAAGAAGAGATAGACAAGTTGCGCTGGAATATCATAGGATTATCCGAGGTCTGAAGAGAAGGGGAGGACACGGTAATCCTCGCATCCGGCAACTTGTTCTATCACCGGGAGGGCCATCTGTCCCAAGGAGGTGTCGGATTTATTGTCCACAAAAATCTCTTGTTAACAACGTTGTAAAGATTGGGAGTGTGTCGACGAGGGTTGCTTACCTTTACTCAGAATCACCAAACGGTATTCGCTGAAGGTCATACAGGTTTACGCACCAACCTCGGCACACCCCGATGAGGAGGTGGAGGAAATGTATGAGGATATCTCTAGAGCCATGCATTCCTCCAAAACCCACTATACGGTGTTGATGAGAGACTTCAACGCAAAATTAGGTACAAGAGAGAACGATGAGCTGAAAGTAGGGAAATTCGGAATAGGGCAACGCAACCCAAGGGGCCAGCAGCTGGCCGACTTCATGAAGAAATAGGGACTCATTATGATGAACTCTTTCTTCCAGAAGCGGCCCCACAGGAAGTGGACCTGGTCGAGTCCCGACGGTTCGTCAAAAAATGAGATTGACTTCGTTATGACGACTAGACGACAACTATTCAGTGATGTTGCAGTGATCGCGAGAGTGAAAACCGGCAGCGATCACCGAATGGTGAGAGGCACACTGAACCTAAACGTTAAGTTGGAGAGGTCACGTCTAATGAAGTCAACGCTCCGTCCCCCTCATGGTCTAATCCAAAGTCTCGAAACCTATCAGCTCGACCTACGAAACCGTTTTCAGTGCCTAGAAGATTGCAATGCAGTGGACGATATGAATGATAAGCTCGTGGAAACTGTCCACGCGGTCGGAGCTAAGTTTTGCAAGACCCACCGCAGAAGAACACAAAAACTCTCCGATCACACTCTTAATCTCATGGCTGTCAGACGGGATATGAAGCTGTAGTCTTGAGTAGATTTGACAGCATACAGGCAACTGAACAGACAGATCTCCAAATGCATGTGGCGGGACTTACGCAACTTCAATACTGCTCGTATTGAAGAAGCGATCGAGCGGAACCAGGGCTCCAAAGTCTTTGCCAGAGATCTGTCTGCTAGAAAGAGCCAACTGTCGAAGCTGAAGGCCGAGTGTGGCAGCGTCATTTCCAGGACACCTGAGATTTTGAGTGAGATTGAGAGGTTCTATGGGCAGCTGTACACATCATCGTTGGAGCCACACGCAAGTGTGAGTAACGATCCAAAAGCGAGTCTTATCCGACATTATTCCGATGATATCCCTAACGTCAGTCTGAGCGGGATTAGAATGGCTCTCCAGCACCTTAAAACGGCAAGGCCCCAGGCGAGGATGGAACTACAGTGGAGCTTTTAAAATCGGGTGGAAAACTGGTACTTGATGTCCTTCAGAAGCTCTTTAATTCCGTCCTCCATGGTGGCATTACATCGGAGGCGTAGAGCAGAAGTGCGGTGGTCTTGTTCTTCAAGAAAGGCGATAATGCTCTCTTGAAAAACTACAGACCAATTTCCCTTATGAGCCGCGTCTACGTGCTGTTTTCGAGAGTCATTACGAATCGTCTCCCGCGCAGACTTGACGACTTCCAGCCTCCCGAACAAGCCGGTTTCCGAAAATGCTTTAGCACCATAGACCACATACCCTTCGGCAAATTGTACAGAAGTCTGAGGAGTACAATTTGCCACTATGTCTGGCGTATGTGGACTATGAGAAAGCCTTTGATTCCGTCGAAATTTAGGCGGTGCTGAAGTCCCTTCAGCGGTGCCAAGTTGACTGTCGGTATATCGAAGTGTTGAAGTGCTTGTACAGTAGGACTACGATGGCTAACTAAGTACAGAACCAGAGTACGAAACCTGTCCAATTGCAGAGAGGTGTAAGACAGGATGACGTCATATCCCCGAAATTCTTCAACGCTGCATTGGAAGACGTTTTCAAGCTTCTGGACTGGAAACGATACGGTATCAACATCAGTGGCGAATACATCACTCACCTTCGATTTGCCGACGATATAGTCCTTATGGCAGAATCGCTGGAGGACCTGAGCACTATGCTCAATGACCTCAATAGTGTTTCCCAACGGATAGGTCATAAGATGAACATGGACAAAACAAAAAATCATGTTTAACGTCCATGTCAAACCAATGCCGGTAGTTGTTGGGGGCACTAAGCTCGAACTTGTTGACGAGTATGTTTACCTAGGACAAATAGACCGACTAGGTAAGTCCAACTTCGACCGAGAGGTCAATCGACGGATGCAACTCGGTTGGGCATTGTTCGGGAAATTACGGCACATCTTCTCGTCAGGTATACCTGAAAACTTGAAAACGAGACTATACAACCAGTGCGTGTTCCCAGTGATGACCTATGGAACTGAGACGTGGTCCTTAACTGCTGGCCGGATGAGGAAGCTCAAGGTCGCTCAGCGAGCTATGGAGAGGGCTCGGGGTGTCTCTGCGTGATAAAGTTAGAAATGAGGATATCCGCAGTAGAACCAGAGTAACCGACATAGCCCAACGGATTAGTAAGCTGAAGTGGCAGTGGGCCGGCCATATAGCTCGAAGAACCGACAACCGATGGGGAATAAAGGTTCTCGAGTGGCAGCCTCGTACCGGTAGGCGAAGTTTCGGGCGACCCCCCACTAGATGGAGAGACGACCTGGTAAGATGCAGGAAGTCGATGGGTGCAGGTGGCTCAGGACCGTGCTTTGTGGCATTCCTTGAGGGAGGCCTATGTTCAACAGTGGACTTATGAAAGGCTGTAATGATGATGATAATGATGAATTGTTATTTTACCTTACCGTCAAGTACATGGCATAATATTTTATTTTTATTTTTAAGTAATCGATACACCACTTTGGAAGAAATCATTATTTTCGTCTACATAAGATTTAAAAATCTTAATTCGTCATTAAAAGTAGAATATATTATGTATGTATATATATATATATATATATATATATATATATATATATATATATATATATATATATATATATATATATTTTGTCTATTTCTTTGTCGATAATTTATGATCTAGTTTCAACTTTCAACCTCTTTCGGGGTTGAACTTTACCGAATCACATACTGTATATCGATAAGTTAAAAGCATTCCTTAGGTTAATCTTTATAATTGGTACCTAATAAAAATATTAAAAAAATAGTAAAGAAATCATTAAATAATATACATAATTGGGCGCAGTCACATTTGTCAAGTTAAGCATGTCTTATATTGTGTTTCAGGTCACTTTTACTGACAACTTCATTAGGAAGACAAACAAATTTTAGTAGTTTTCCACCAGATTTTGAATTTGGAACTGCGACTTCTTCGTATCAAATAGAAGGTGCTTGGAATGTCGACGGTAAGTTTTGTTAGTCATTTTTAAGAAAAAAAAATGTTTAATAGGTATAATGATTTCTTATATTTACGCGAATACTACAAATTGAATAAAATTATATTTCACGTTTAATTTTTAAATCCCGGGCTAACTATGACATGGGGACTTCAAATATCTTAGTCCCCCTGTTACCATGGGTGCTGTAAAGCACCCGAAACGTCGAGAAATAAAAAATAAGAAAATTAAGCGCGACAAAATCCGTAAAAACAGTTTTATTCAAAATGTTAAATATGTTTCCGAGGATTAATAATAAAATTAAAAATTAAAAATTTTGTACAGTCGACTTCAATATAAGTCATTAAGAATAACTCAAAAACTATTATTCTGACCTTGATCAAATTCATATGGGACCACACGAGAAGTATCAGCTTTCATATAAAAAAAAGAATCATCGAAATCGGTTTACACATAAAAAAAAATCAGTCGAATTAAGTACCGTCTCCTTTTTGGAAGTCAGCAGAAAGCAATGTTACCGCCACAATAATGCATTATATTCATACTGCTATCGTTCCTGAGTGGTTATGGAGCAAGAACGAGTCCGCCGCGTGAAGCCGCACTGCTCCAGTGCGGTTTAACGGACTTTACACTTTCGTTTTTTTAATCAAATCAAATCAAATCAAATCGTTTATTGCTTCTATAATGTACAGTACATTAGCAGTTACAGTGACCATTATAGACCCTGTCGGGCGTTGCAATATACAAGAAATATACAATAAAATAATTAATAAATGGACTTATAACTATGTAACATCATTATATTATATTTGGCTATTTTGAAAATAAAATTTTATTTAATACTTAGTAATTTACTGCTTAGTAATTAACTATCAAAAAATTCAGTGAGCGTGTAAAAGCATTTGGAAATAAGATAATCATGAAATTTTTTATTGAATGAACTTAATTTAACTTCAGATTTTACATCTATGGGTAGTTTATTGAATATTTTAATTGCCATGTAATATGGACTACAATTGAGCATGTTGGTTCTAGATGGGGGTAAATATAACCTATGTTTATGCCTAGTATTTACATTGTGTGTTTCTTTTATCTGGGTGAAGAAGTGTTTATTTTTAAATACGAAGTTATAATTTATATATATACTAATTTTTCCCTCAGTGGAATACCTAGTACTATATAAGACAAGCGTCTGGATCCCAATGCACTAGAATAGAATATAGAATAGAATAGAATATTTTTTTATTCAATATACATTACATGTGTAATTCTTATTGAAAGTCATTTTTTACTTTACCACTGGTTCGAAAAAACCCTCTGTCCTGGGAAGAACCAGCAAGAAACCCAGCGGGACTTTTTTTTAAATAAATTTTACAATAGAAATGATTACGAACTATTTACAAAATTTATTTTAGAAACTGCTTGGAAGCGATCACCTCATTCCCAGGGGTTATTATCAACCATGTATTCATTTATACTATAATAACCCTTTTTATACAGTTTCAGCTTAATAAAACATTTAAACTTGGTAATAGAGAGAACCTGTACACTTTCCGGGACCTTGTTGTAATAGCGTATACATTGCCCCAAGAATGAATTACTGACTCTGTGGAGTCGAGAAACTGGTATCACTAGCTTGTGTTTGTTCCTAGTGTTTACAGAATGTATATCACTTCTTTTACTAAAACTATCTTTGTTTTTGTGAACATACATTAAATTTTCGTAAATATACTGAGAGGCCAAAGTTAATATATTAATTTCTTTGAATTTATCTCTAAGAGACTCTCTCGGTTTTAGATTGTAAATAGCTCTAATGGCCCTCTTCTGTAAAACAAAAATAGTTTCTGAATCAGCCGCATTTCCCCATAGCAAAATCCCATAAGACATTATGCTATGAAAATAACTAAAATAAACTAATCTAGCTGTCTCGACACTAGTGAGACCTCTAATCTTTTTTACAGCATAGGCTGCAGAACTTAGTCTGCTTGCTAATTTGGATATATGGGGGCCCCACTGGAGCTTTGCGTCAAGAGTGATGCCAAGAAAAACAGTGGATACAACAGGGCTCAATTCCTCCCCATTTAAAAACGCATTGGTATTCAGATTTTGAACATTCGTTGTTGTAAATTTAACACAATTAGTTTTATTTCCGTTCAAATGCAGATTATTAACGTTAAACCAATGCACTAATTTTGATATAGCATTATTCACTTCGTCACATTTAAATGATTGACGTTTAAGTTTAAAAATCAAGGAAGTATCATCAGCAAATAATACTATATCATGACTATCCCCTACAAGGTGAGGTAAGTCATTAATATACACCAGAAACAGGAATGGGCCGAGAATCGAGCCCTGAGGTACACCCATTAGTACAGGTGACCCGGAAGAACTTTTACCATTGATAATAACCTTCTGTTTTCTATTACTTAAATATGAAATAATAAGTTTAAGCGCTGTGTTCTTGACACCATAGTACTGTAGCTTCCTGATTAATGTCTCATGGTGAACACAGTCGAAGGCCTTGGAAAGGTCACAAAATATACCCAAAGCATCCTCTGAATTCTCCCATGCACAAAAAATATGTTTAATAAGCTCAACTCCAGCGTCAGTTGTCGAGCGACCCCTTGTAAAACCGAATTGATTATTATGTAGCAATTTATTAATAGTAAAGAAACTTAACATCTGATCTAAAATAATTTTTTCAAAAATTTTACTTAATGTTGGTAGTACAGAAATTGGTCTAAAATTGGCGGGGTCTAATGTACTACCAGATTTAAATATAGGTATGACTTTACTATGTTTCATTAAATCAGGAAACACACCAGATTCGACGCTTATATTAAATATAGTGGCTAGATAAGGTGCTAATGTATCTATTATAGATAAAATAACTTTAACGGAAATCCCCCATAAGTCTGCCGTTTTCTTAACATCAATAGTTTTAAAATATTTAACGATATCTTTTGGCAGTACCCTATGGAATTTAAAAGTATTTGAACAAGCCTTTACATTTTGTTTGAGCAATGATTCGGCGACAGTAGGAGAAGAATTTAATGATTTTGTTGTCAAAAAAGGAACATCAATAAAATGTTTCTCAAAAGCCATAGCAACTTCTTGATCAGATCGCGTTAAATTATTGTTAATATTCAATTGAAAATCCGAGTTGCGCGGTTTGACCTTGCCCGTTTCACTATTTATTATTCTCCAGGTCATTTTAATTTTGTCGGATGCAGTTTTAATTTTGTTGCTTAAATGTAAAGCCTTAGCAGTGGAGCACACTTTTTTAAATATTTTAGAATATGTTTTTACATAATCTCTAAATATAACACTACTATTAACTCTACTATTAGTCTCAATAGAGTTTATATCCAAAAAAATAAATGATTTATTTATATTTTCAGTAGGGTTACTGCGTGTGTAAAAAATAAACTCTTAATACATTACTAATGGCGTATTTAGGTTCAAAGACTCTGACCTGTTGAAATTACCTAACCTGTTGGTTAGGTTGCAATTTGCCCCTTGACCAAACTTTGCTATGCGTTAGAAAAAATATAATTTTCTCAGGGATCTAGATAAACTTGAAAACTAAAACGTTATCGTAATGTATTACGTTTATTAACAACATAATATACAATATTTTAATATATACAATATTAAAAAAGTTATCCAAATCAATTTATTTTAATATTCTTTGGTAACTATGTTAAAAAAATAATTTTATTAGTATTATTTTAACGCCCTGAAAATTCTACCGACCTATAGATCAGTTAGCCGTTACGTAGATACACTGGGCGCAAGCCTCCTCTTATTATCCAAGAGATTTAGGGACAGGAACGAATATGCAGCGCTACTTTTGAATAGTACGTGGTAGCAGACGATGATGTGATGCCCTCGAAATTTCCTGAACTTGGCAAAATCCCTCCTAAGAGGCAACCGTATTAGGAGGCTTATGTTAAGCAGTGGACTTTTGATTGTCTATAATGAATGAGTGGAAGAATAATATGCATACGTAAAAACAAAACGCAATCAGTAGGTAGGTAGATAGGTTTATACGTGGTAGAGCCATGCTGCAGCTATATTAGTAGTATAGTTGTAGCACGAATGGGTCGGCACGACCGGGGAAGGACCACGCTCTCACAGAATACCAGCGTAAAATAGCAGCTTAACACTGCTGTGTACCGTATGGTGAGTGTAGAGAACCGGAGACCATTTTTACTGGAAACGAGGCATTCCATCTTAGTCCTCACGGGTGACAATGCATCTGCATTTTGGTTCGTAATCGAAGATAGATGTAGATGTCTATGGGCCACAGCAACCACTTACCATCAGGTGGACTGTGTGCTCGTTTGCCTTTATTCTTTAAAAAAGTTGAATATTACATACTTATTTATACACTCCTGCTTCAAAGTGTCCATAATCTTTTACATAGCTTGATATCATGCTCATTTTAAGATTACTATACCAATTAAATCATTAGTCAGAGATTAAAACCCACTTTGGAACCATTAATATCACTCCACACCGTATTGAGTCACGGCGACCAGTCTCAACGTAGACTTAGAGTACAACGTAGAGTAGCCATCTGCGAATTGCCTTGAATTTGAAAAGATAAACTCAAAGCCTAAACTGATTATGGCCCACCCCGAACCATTTTGACGTTGTAGAGCCATGCTGCAGTTATATTATGGTTGTAGCATGAATGGGTCGGCTCGACCGGGGAAGGACCACGCGGTCACAGAATACCAACGTAAAAAAGCAGCTAAATGCAGCAGTGTTCCGTAGTGAGTGGAGTGAATCGGCAGCCCTTTTTACTGGATACGAGGCATTACATTTTAATTCTCAGTGGTTACGGCCCATCTGTATCCACTTAACATCAGGTGGACTGTGCTCGTTTGTCACCAGTATGATCAGCAGTCGTGCTTACAACCGCTAAATTAACAAGGCATTCATCAGAAGAAACTAAACTTGCTCAGCGATCCCGCCATAACAGCCACTGTATTCGTCGTTAAATTGAAGATGAGTGATACGAGTATATTAACAATTGATGTTGTATCATCTGTATGCATGCAGTAGTTTGATTTAATTTTCTAATGTTGTAGTCAAAACTTTCAGGGATATAATATACCCTCACCTTAACCCTATCTTATGTATTTAGGAAGTTGGATAGATTTCGTTCTTTACTCAGATATGCCTTACTGTTCATATAACTTAGCATTTCGATCCACTGATAACAAACTGGCATCGTTGAATGGATAAGTCATACTCAGCTGAAGGTTCTTATGATCTGTATACTTCAGAATGTCTGAGTTGGCAGATTTTGCAGTTTTCCGGATATTTAGCTGAAGGGTCTTTATGATCTGTAGTACTGAACCCTTCTCAGATATAGACTTTTTCGAGAGACGGCAAATCATAAAGTCTGCGTGCGAGACATGGATGTATAGTTTATTAATGGGGTGTTATCGTTCTATAAACAGGCCCACAAGCATTTAATACATATTGAAATTGTTGGCAGAGTCATTTCTCAAGTTCAAAGATTTACAGTTAATTTCATTATAATTGTAACCTCAAATCTTTGCAGGAAAAGGGTGGTCGATGTGGGACCATCTCGTTCGTACAGCCCCAGAGAGCATATACGACAACACAACAGGGGATATAGCAGCAAACTCTTACTACTTATACAAACGCGATGTTGAAATACTTAAGGAACTGGGCGTCAATAACTACAGGTTCTCAATTTCATGGCCGAGGATCCTTCCTTACGGCAGGCCCGACTACGTAAATCCGTACGGCGTCGCATATTACAATGCACTAATTGATGAATTATTGGCGAATGACATCAAACCGTTTGTTACGATCTACCATTGGGAACTACCACAGAATTTAAACGAGCTAGGAGGCTGGCTTAATGAAGATATAGCGGATTGGTTCGCCGATTACGCGCGGGTGTTGTTCGAGAACTTTGGCGACAGGGTCAAGCATTGGTTGACGATTAACGAGCCGGATGTCCATTGCTACTTTGGTTACGAATCGGGCTCGCACGCTCCAAGAATAATCTCCCCCGGTGTCGGGTACTATGAATGTGGCAGGAATATACTACTAGCGAACGCCAAAGCGTATCACGTTTATGATGAAGAGTTCAGAGCGTCTCAAGGTGGAGAGATTGGAATGGTTATAAGTATGGAATGGCCGATACCAAAAACCGATTCTGCAGATGACCACGAGGCTGTTCAAGACTTTATCGCGTTTAACGTAAGTATAATTTATTAAGGTTATAAGATTTATCAACGTGAATTTTATTTATGATGTTCGCCTTATCAAATATTATTTAATCATTATGTTTATCATTTCTTCCTAACTTGTCAAGTTTGTTTTTAAAATTGGTTTCCTTATTATTTATATCTTTATTGTTGTGCAATGAATAGATTATGTGTACGCAGTTGATGCGTAAAATTTTATTAGCACACTTGGCTCTTCTGACATTTTTAGGTATCAGGTTTTACATCTTCTATACATACACATATAAATAAAATTGAAGTGTGTGTCTGCAATATTGAAATATCTGGATTATATTAATGTCAGGATTTTTTTCATGCTATTTAGACATAAATAGCTATTTTAAAATTTTTGTCTGTCTGTCCGTCCGAGATAATCTTCGGAATGGCTGAATCGATTGTGATAAAACTTAACAAGCAGTTAGAAAGCAATGACAAGAGTGGATCAAGGTTATATTTTACCAGAAAAATAAAGTTTTCATCAGTTTTAAGATCATCAGCTCTTTTTGTTACGGGTTTTTTTTTTAAATTATGTATATGTAAGCAGAAAACGAATTTAACGGGTTTTATCACGTGCTTTTTGGCATGCCTTGGAGAAGTTCTATGTTCAGCATATTGTCACCCTATCCCATAAAAAAAGCTTTTATGAAAATAAACATCTCAAGAGAGGAAAGATATAACCCTCTTTTTGTTTTTTGAAGTAAGTAAAAAGGAAGTAGCCTTATATCCTTTATGGGCAACTGGGCAAACTTCATACCAGAATTCTTGGAAATTCGTCCGGTAATTTTTCCACCTGATGGTATTTGGATGCTGTGTGGGTGGATTGAGAATCGCAGTTTCCTTCGTATCACAGCTTTGACTGTCGCCGCTTTATTGATTTTTCATGTGGCGCATACGAAATGGTACACCGTATACATGGCAGGTCTTTAGGTCTTTCTGGCCTTTTCCAATTGCTTCCTACAACACCCACTGGTAAAGGAGAGGTAGTTTCTAAAAATGTAAAACGGTAATTTAACTTGTTATGCAATATATTGGATGGTTTCACTGCAATAATTCGCTAAAAACTGCGTCCTTACTAAGAAAACGTGTGAATTACAACAGTATGTTGAAAACGTCTTTTTTTTTATAGAATAGCGGTGTCAAATGAGCATACAGTCTACCTGATGTTAAGTGGATGCTGTGGCCCATATACATCTATATTTATCCTCGATTAAGAATCAAAATGCAGATGCGTTGTCACACCTGAGGACTAAGAAGGATAGTCTCGTTATCAATAAAAAAGGGGAGACCCTTGTTTGGTTCTCTGCACTCACCATACGGAACACAGCAGCATTAAGCTGCTATTTTACGCTGGTATTCTGGGAGAGCGTGGTCTTACCCCGGTCAATCCGACCTACTCTTGCTACAACTATAATATGGCTGCAGCGAGACTCTACCACGTGGCTCTACCACGGTGGCGGCGGGTCTTCTATTGCGAGACGTTTTGTGTAGAAAATGGTCAACTAAGGCTTCTTACTTGATCAGACTCAATATAACTAATTAACTAGATAGAATAGGTCATTTACTAATTAAAACTAGATACAAGTATTGTTCCCCACGCAGGGGGCATGCATAAGCTCAAAGATACAACGATGATAAAACGAACTTCAAAGATAAAACGCTGTTTTAATCTTTGAACAACATAGATTAAAGACAAGGCCGTAATGTAACGTTATCAAACGTTTTCGAATTAAATATTTTCGATTGTTTTAGTCGATTTTTAATTTGCCGCGTAAAAGGAGGTAGATATTAAAAGTTTATGGTGTGAAATATATATATATACATACTGATATTGATAAAATTAAAATTTAAAATGTTGTCCGAAGTAAAGAATTTTTTTTTTAAATATTCGGCTTAACAAAATATCGCTTTAGACTTTTCTATCTTTCGGCTTGGCATAAGATCAACTTTTTCTTCTTCACCACCAGCCTGTAATAGTCCTCTGGATTACATCAGTTGCAGGAAGATAGGGTAGATAGGGGGAACTTGCATCTCAATTAGAACAATAGAGAGTTCACTCTTCAAATATTTACAGTGTATAGATAACCAGTCCAAGTCCACCTTGAAAAAATATACGAGCTACAATTGCACGTCCTTCTATGTGTCACCCCATGGTCACCCCACTCAAAATAAAACATAAATATAAAAAATGGTTCTAATTCTAATGGTCTTTTCCATCATTGCAAATTACTACCAGTACACGACAAAGTGAAATACCTATTGCTACTTGAAAATTATGGCAAGGAAGAATAAAAAGTTAGCCGCATTTAAATACAAAGCTTACTCGACAAGTCCTCAATCGATATATGATTATCCGAAAGTACAAAAATATTTATGTACAAATTAATTTAGATACAATATCAAATTTCCGCTCGTTTGAACCAAATTCCAAAACCAATAAAAAATGAATTAACCAGGGATCGGGGAAGGACTCTCACAGAATACCGGCGTAAAATAGCAGCTTAATGCTGCTCTGTTTCGTATGGTGAGTGTAGAGGACCGGAGACCCTTTATACTGGAAACGAGGCATTCTTAGTCTTCAGGGGTGACAACGCATCTGCATTTTGATTCGCAAATGAGAAAATGTAGATGTCTATGGGCCACATCAATAACTTACCATCAGGTGAACTGTGTGCTCGCTTGTCACCCTTATTCCATAAAAAAACAGTATTTTATCGACATATTGTTAACGATACCTACCAATAATTTATACTAAAATATAAAACTATATCCACTAACACACATCATAATATAATATACATAAATAAAATTTTACTAATAAATTTACACATACATCGACACACAATTATACCATTATTACTACTTTTCATTTAATATACTGTTTTTTGTTTTGGTACCTACCTAGTTAAAAAAATATCTTGCTGTTTTGTCACACCATTTATGTATATACGTCATTAAATAAGTTGTCGCAAAGCGAACCGATTGAACATGATCGAAGTTACGAATCGGCGGTACATGGAAAAACTTGTGGCGGGTGGAAGGAAAAGGGGAGATCTCCCGCCGGGCAAGGTGTTCTGCCCGGAGAGCGGCCAACGCTCCGAGTGGTAGTTCGGAGCTATTCTATATATGCTGCTTTAACTTCGGAACTTTGTTAGCGCGATTTAGACTTCGATGTGTCTCGCTTGTGGCGCGACGTCAGCGCCGCCACATCACCCCCCTGCTCAGACCGGAGGTCGATAGTGCGGTCTAGATGTCGACAAATTTCGCAAGTGCCAGGGAATAGCCTTGTAAGTCTGCGGTGAGTCGAGAAGAAGGCAAGTAATCTGCGAGAGTGCCGTGAAGCAGAGGCGAGCAGTAAGGCTTAGCGCCGTGCCGAACAGTGTAGCGCAGAGAGTAGCTTGAAGGAATAGGAAGCATTATTATTCCAGTGCTGCGATGAACCTTTGTAAAGCTAAATGGCTTGCAGAATGTGAAGACTGCAGACAATATCTTGCTAGGGTGCGAATGAATGGGGTACTTGAGGACGATGACGAAGGTTTTGAAGTTGTAGTTTCCGAAGATTGTTGGTTGTGTGTTCATATCACGTCGGGGTCATCACTGTGGCGGGTGAAGGAAAAGGGGAGATCTCCCGCCGGGCAAGGTGTTCTGTCCGGGGAGCGGCCAACGCTCCGAGTGGTAGTTCGGAGCTATTCTATATATGCTGCCTTAACTTCGGAACTTTGTTAGCGCGATTTAGACTTCGATGCGCCGCCACAAACTTTTGTAAGTTTATTTGTTCTATCGGATGTTATTAAATAACTATACTTTGTACAAAATAAATAAATAAATAGTTTTTCTGCCACGGAATAAACTCCTGCTATATACTTAGTTGTTAGGACATACAAAAAACATTAAGGGAACTGTTATCGAAACTTAACCTTCATCATCATCATCATAATGATGTCATCATCTGCCATCCCATAGGAAACTCTTACCAGATCGTCACTCCATCTAGTCTCAAGAACCTTTTTTTATAGAAGAGGGGCAAACGAGCATGCATGCGGCTCACCTGATAGTAAGAGTCGAAGCCCATGAATAACTGCGTTGCCGGTTTTAAAAAAAATAGTAGGCTCTTTATAATCTATTTTATGCATCGAGCATTTAACCTGAAACAACTAACTTCCGGTTAAATGCTCGATGATTCTATGTCATAACTTCATGAGATCCATATGTAAAAAACATTAATATTTATAGATTGGTCAGTACATGGACCCAATATTCTCGGAAAATGGTAACTACCCGAAGCGTCTCATCGACCGCGTGGCAGCGGCGAGCACCAAACAGGGTCTGAACACCTCACGCCTACGTCCGTTCACCAGTGAGCAGATAGAGTATATAAAAGGTACAGCAGATTTCCTCGGACTCAACCACTATACCAGCAAGTTAGTGTACAGGAACGAGTCCCTCGAAGGCCGGTTCTCTGTGCCTTCGAAGCATGATGACGTTTACATTGACGAACTCAGACATCCATCTTGGCCTGTTGACACAGGATTTGTGCACGTAAGTTAAACAAATCTTTATAGATTTAGCTTTTACAATAATCGCACTTTCATAGTAAATTCTATCAATCTGTTTAGAGATGATTTCCGTGATCAAAGCTATCCTATTTCCTTCCTCGGGACTTAAACTATCTCGATACCAAATTTCATCTAAATCGGTTCAGCGGTTTAAACGTGAAGAACATTTGCTCACGTGACGATGAGCGATGTTTTCCCGCACCTCGCCCGCAGTACGCCCTACCGCCCTGCGCGCGCCGGACCGCACAATTTCATACCGTCGTTACTTTTAAAATATTTTGGCCAAATGACGTAGTTTAAAAGACAAAAGCTATCTACTTTGAACATCAGAAGCAATTAAAGTATTTATTTTGATAAAATCCATTTGTTACTGCAAAATGTGCGTTGGAAATTAAGTATCAAATTTATTTTATACTTTATTATTTTATTTGTGGTTCACTATTTTGGTAATAACGGCTTACACATAAAAGATAGATATATACTGTCGCCGACTTTTTTGTATAACTATTTAGGAGAAACAATTCCACCATACATAATATTTGTGTAATTTACAGTTTTTGAACCGTACGCCAAAATAGCTCGCAGATGACAGAATTTTCCCGACTTACTTAACACTTATTGCTATATTTTGATCAATTTACACAATATCTTTATTAATTATAGCCTGTGTGTTGTTCTAATGTTATTGTAGTTTCATTAAAATCCATTCAGTAGTTTTTGCGTGAAAGAGTAACAAACATCCATACATCCTCACAAACTTTCACGTTTATAAATTAGTAGGATATACATAAATCTAATATATAAAAAATAATGTTTATTTGTTCGTATTTTATGCGCTACCATAGCGTTCATTAGATTGCGCTAAAACTTTATCAACTTGGTTGAAGGTTATAGCACAAAAGACATATTATATCATTCAACTAGATCATGAATGTATTTTCATTCCTAATTAAACAATATAACTCTTCCAAATGTGAAACTATATTTCCACAATTATTTCTTCTGCGACAGCAACGCGCTGGGACCAGCTAGAGGCTAATAAAAGTGCCTTAAATCCTCTCAGGAAAGAGTGGAGGCCTTGTCCCAGCTGGGATGTACTAGTATGTAGGCTAGAAAGAAAGAGAAGTTTTCACACTTTTTAACTTGCCGCTAGGAACTTGTTGTAACGGGTTCAATTTAAATTTGGGAAAATTTAAATTTGGACATAATCTCTTCGTTTTAAGATCTCTAGAGTCGATGCTATGATTTTTAGAAGGGTATCTACTAGGCAGTGGGACTTCCTTTTTGCCTAAGCGTCCGTATCGGTGGGTCTGAATTGAACCTCTCCAGTGTTTTATATGTTTTAAGTATCATTTCTAGTATTTTTTTATAGGATATGGTAACAAACGAGCACATAGGCCACCTGATGGTAAGTAATTGCTGTGGCCCATAGACATCTACATCTATCCTCAATAAGGAATCAAAATGCAGATGCGTTGTCACCCATGAGGGCTAAGATGGAATGCCTCTGTTTGCCGCCAAGCAGCAGATGCGGTCGGAATGGCATGGGGAGTAACAGGATATGAGCAATAACATCTTAGTCTTTATAGGTGACAACGCATCTGTAACCTTTTTTTGTTTTAAGTTGGTTGCCGGAGTCCATCAGGTGTAGTCCTGTCAGTTCGTCCGTTACTTCAAACTAAAAGAAAAATGCATAATAAATAATTATATAATATTTTATAAAGAAAAAAAAATATTTACGATTTTGAATAGAAAGTCAGTATCTTTATTGTTTATATTAATTATAATGATGGTGCTCAGTGGTGACAACGCATCTGCACTAATCTATATTTTAAATAGTCAGCTACCATAAGTAAAGTAAAGTTACAGCCTATACACGTCCCACTCCTGGGCACAGATCTCCACTCATTTTTGACAAGGTTATAGCGCAAGGAAGTGTCAGCTACCTCCTGTGTTGGCGGAATTGACATGTCTTCAAACCTCTTATTATGTTTATTTGTCATACATATAGGTTGTCTAACGATATTTTTCTTCACGGCCGAGCACGTGGTAAAACAGCACTTAAAATTTAAATTAACAATTTCATTGGTGCACTGGGGACGAACCCGGGTTGCTCGCGTAGGTACTGTGCATTTCAAATTTAGAAAGTGTTTCAAATTTAGAAAGTGTTTCAAATTCAGCGAGCACTTAGCCTCATTTATTTGCATGGGAAAATGCCTTCGCATACCCGTCTCGCGGGAGTAAGGACAGGACACCTTCACCGCATATTGGCAGGGCGACGGTAACGCTTTCGTACACGTCTGCGGCCCCACTAGTGCCGGCCCCTACTCGGGACCACTCCTCTCCTTTTTCCTTCTCAAGTAAAGCGCACCAGAACACAAGGCACGCCTTCCTCCGCGGCCTCCAACTCAATCTACACAACGGACCCCTCCTCTGGGACAGATACGGGAAGGTCAGGAAAAATGAGCACTGAACACCAGATTTTCTGACACCAACGGCAGATCTGGTATGTCTCTGCCGCCAACTACGTTTCGGCCTTTCACCCGGGCCAGTCATATGGGCTCCTCTTAGCTCACCATTGGTGACAGAGCACGGCTATTAAGCCCTATCGACACGACCCCCTGAGCTAAGACGGCTTACCATAAGGTGCGCTGTTAACACATTTAGTTTTCTTAACTTTTTCCCTGTCCCATGAATCATGTACGAGTATGAACATTTCCATTGTTTAACTATTGTGTATTGACAGGAAAACTGTTAAGTATCCTAATGCATTATTTAATTTTCTATTTTTTTTTCAGGAATACGCTCCAGGTTTCTACAGCTTGCTCATTTATCTTAAAAACACCTACAATAATCCTAAAATATACGTAACAGAGAATGGTTGCTCTACAAGTACAGGCCTAAACGACACATTTCGAGTACAGTACTACCGGAATTACCTTAGTGCGTTATTAGACGCTTTGGCAGAGGGCGTTAATGTCAAAGGATATTTCGCCTGGAGTTTGATGGATAATTTTGAATGGAGTTTCGGCTATACGTAAGTCTTACTTCCATTTCGTTTATAGTATAAATGTGACAAACGAGCATACAGTCCACCTGATGGCAACTGGATGCTGTTTGCCCCATATACATCTACCTATCGTTTTTTTCATCTATACTCGATTGGGAATCAAGATACAGCTATGTTGACAACCCTAACCAACAAACAAGTCATAATAATATCATCACCATCATCGCCTTTCTCTTTCTTTGCTCATTCAGATGAAGCCGTAAAAACAAAATGGCAAACAGCACTAACATCTTTTGAACACATTACTACTATTTGTAAATTGGTAGCCATAAAAACACATATTTTGTTAAATGTATTTAAATTGCAGTCTAGTATTTTTTTTTAGAAATATGGGCAAAAAGATCATGCGGCTCACCTGACGGTAACTTACTATCGCCGCCCATAAACAACTGAAGCACCAGGGGAATTGTAGATGCGTTGCCGAACTTTTAAACAAGAGTAGGCTCTTTTCTTGAAGTTTCCTAAGTTATATCGGTCTGGAAAATTCGCTGGTGGTAGTCGATTCTACAAGAAATTGTGCGAGGAAGAATACTTCTAGTAAATCGCACAGTGGTGGACCGATAGGCGGATATTCAGATGATATGGATGGTAGTGGTTTTAGATATGATGAAAAGTTGACGTAATTTGTTTCAGTTTAAGATTTGGCATCTACGAGATTGACATGAATGATCCGGAAAGGAAGAGAGTCCCGAAAATGTCTGCCTTAGTGTTAAAGGAAATTATAAGAAGTAGAGTAATTGACTATAACTATGACGTTGATCCTTATGCTCCTTCGGGAGCGTTCGTTCGAACTGCGTCAATTTTCACTATCATACTACTGGCAACACTAGTAATTATTTTAAGAATCTACTAAGACGTATTTCTTAGCAGCCTTACTAAGTTTTGTAACTATTAAAAAACCTAATAAATAACTAAGCTTAAGAAATATTGAAGTGCTGCGCAAGTATTTGACGGTTTGGTAACGGTAGCCAAAATGAGGGCATCCACGACTTTTTCTGCCACCAGGGTGGCGCCACTAGAAAGTGAGGTATAATATTTGACAGATTTCATAGCGGGGAAGTTAATTTGTTCGGAAAATGTAAAAGTTATTGTTTCTTTCTGTACTATTAGCTATATTTTATATTAATAACATTAAAAATAAATAAATTTTACGTTTTAGTCTTCGCCCATAAATCATCACATGACCATAGATAAATAAATATGTAGCAAGCTACACATGACATGAATATGTCCCGTTGTCTAAGTCTATGCCCGTTGTAGGGAGTAATCATAGAGATATATACCAATGGAGAGGGCATATTCCACTATAGAAATAATAGTTATACAAATATCTATAATATCGACACACACTTATCAAAAATAGTTTCGTCTCTTTTTAACAAAGCAGTAGCTGCAATAGAAAAGAGAGACCTACAGTTTGTAAAGTGCTTATTTTGGTAATACTTTCGTGTGACGTCATTAGCTCTTCCTTGCGTGACTGCGCCGCCATGTTAAGCGCCAAGTTTTGAGGTAGATCTGCTGTCAAACTGTCAAAAAAACAGTGAAATAGTGTCGTACACTCTTATCTACAGTGTCGATAGAAATTATTTAATAAATTAATTTTGTACAGAAATGAATATATAATAATAAAAATAGTTTATAAATCCTGGATATCATATTTCATCCACCGTTACATGATCATGCTAGATTTTCGAATTTTAAATAAACAAAATTAATGTACCAACGAAAATAATTATGTTTTTCATTTAAAATCTGAATAAAAATATTAAACATGATATCCGGCAGGACCGAACATGCTTATATAACTTACCATTTGTGATCAATTATGTGCAGAACGTTCCTATGTACCAATTAATAATTAATAAGTATTGACTCTAAAAACAGTTTATTTAATAGCAAAGGTATTTGGTATACAAGCAAAAATATTCGTTTTCCCACTACTCTGTCAATATTCATTTTTATTGTGTGCGTTATAACTTTTTAACTTTGTTCACATTAATATAAAACAAAACGTGTATGTGCACTTATGTACGTATGTAAGAAGTTATACTTCTTTAGCGTAACAAAATAAAAATAACTAAAATAAAACACGTTTAATACATTCATATATATTTGAATAACTACCTCGAATATAGTTCTCACAATTACCAATTGAAGTTGTAAAAAATTCACTCTCATCATTTTTCGCAAACGCGCCAAAAGAAGTATGACTTCAAAACTTGAGTAAGCATTTAGCACACTGAGAACATTGTTTAAAACAAGTTGCAAGTTAGCTGCCTGCATACTTAACTCATTGTTTGACTGTGTACCTAACACAAAAAATCTGTAGCAGAGTGTGCAGTGCGTAAGTGTACATATGCGGTGAAGCCTCGTGATGCAGCTCAAGCGAAATTTAAGGGATAGCAATCCAAAACTAGTTTAACAACCCAACAATATCCATTGCTTCATGTGATTGAAAAATTCGTTTGCTCGACAACAAAAACAACGCAATGGATGTTGTTAAACTGTCAAATTGGTATGGCTCGCCATTTTAGGTGTTACGCGATTAGGCTATGGATTTAATTTCTATAATTATATGAAATAAGAACAAACTCATATTAGTAAAAATATCGATATCAGATGCCCATATTGCTGAGTTACAACCCTATAAAAGACGGCCATTTTATGCGCCAGATTATTTTAGGTAGTCACGCTAATTCTGTAGGTATGCCCAGTCCATATACTTCTAAGTCAGAGGGAGTATTTGACAAGTTGACCATAGATTACCGTATATATGAATTTGACAGTCAATGATGACTAATAATCTTCCGCTTACCAGATGTCGCTAGTTGAGACCAAGGTGAACTTATTAGCTATACATCACACAGTGTCATCGTAATTGAAAAATTGGCGATTTAATTATAAGTTTTTTGGTTTAGAGTGTATGTATGCACACAAAACAATGCCTCAGTGTTGTGTTCTTTAATTTTTGACACAAGTTTATTTTTTTTAATTCTTCTACTTTTAGGAAGATATAGTTTGGTTTATTCAATTTTCAATATAATTAAACAGAAACAGAAACAGAAACTTTTTTATTCAATATATATTATAAATAATACTTATTGAAAGTCACTCTTTTGTTTGATTACCACTGGTTCGGAAAAAAAACTCTGTCCTGGGAAGATATATATTATATATAATATATAAATATGAATAAAATAAGATAATATACAATATATCCAATCTTTCAGATAGATATATTAACTTTACACTTTTCTAACGAATTAACTTTCCCCGCTATGAAATCTGTCAAATATTTCATCTCATTACTAAATTGCGCCGCCCTGCTAGCAAAATAGTCTGGGTTAATAAATTGGCAATTGTCGTATTAGAAATCTTGCACTTTTGCCACTACTCCCTGTCGCCGGTCTGGGTATTTTCACTGATGTAAACGGAATGACACCATCTATAAGAGTCATCACTTTCGTAATAGTGTTCTGTACCTCTAAACGTAGTGATTTATATACTCATTGTGACTCTAACGAAGCCCACGGGACGACATGGGTCGATGCATACTTCATAACCACACCACATTTATAAACATAATATATTAACTTTAGTTGTTTGTTGTAAATTGTTTCTCATAAATATAATATCTACGTTACCGTTATTAAAGTCCAATGCTGAACATCCTCCCCCATAGATTGCATCATAGGGGGGATATTTGCCTTATTTGGCATGCTTGGCAAACAGGTTGGCAACCGGAGTTTTTTATTTTTAATCGCTATTAGGAAGACGCTGCTGCCCATCCCCTGATTTGTTTCCCTCTGTCGCCTCTTACAACACCCACGGGATGATATGGGGTAATAGATATTCTTACTGCAAACAGAATTTTATCACACACTAATAGTATTGCATGCCTTAAGCGCGAAGCGCGCAGGTATGTTCTGCTAGGGCCTAAAAATTATTTATTTATTTATTCTTTACTCAATTCGATTTGCCCATAGGTATTCTCAACTAGTTAACACACATTTGATGAAAGTTTCTCTATTATTATATTTGACACAACAACGGGTATGATAAATTAATATCATTGCAAAGATAAGGTAGATGGTAGATCAAGTGCAAATGCGCATTTTTAATTTTATATTACGTAAAAGAACCTGAATTTGATTCCATTGTACACTGATTTCATTTGCAATTGTTTGAGGCGTTTTCAAACGTATATTTACCAGGTAATCGATGGTAAAGAAAAACATTATGACAAAAGCTGCATCTCTGAGAAATAAATCACAAAAAGTGCGTCAACGCGCACTGGAGTAGCTTGACTAACTGTTTTCGTTTCTGAGACTTTTAAAGGTAAATTTAGCTTTTATCGATATAAATATACAACTAAGTGTACATATAAGACAAATATATTTAAGTTATTTTTAATTATTTTAATATATTTTATCGTAGAAATATATTTTAAGTCTAGTATCTGTTCGGAAATAGAATAAAAGTAAAATTTAGAGCGCTAGTGATTTTTTTTTTGTATAAGTTAGTTCTTAGTATTATTTCCTGGTTTTATAAGTTCGATTTTAAGAGTTTAATATTATAAAATAAAATGTAAATACTTATTTATTTATACATGACTATATTGTTTTCTTTTTGCATTATAAGTTAATATAGAATTATTAAAAATGTTCATTTTCTCTTTCCGAACACGCTATGTACCTACCTACTATGGAATGTCAAAGTAAATAAAATGTCTTTGTAACAAAACTATATTGTTTTTTAATAATTTACCCATAGAATTGTAACGCACATGGCGAGTTCTATATCAAACTGAGTTTTGTTCGAAAGTGAGGCAAATAATCAGTGAGAAAAAATGATTTCAAGTAATATATAGGACAATGGTGAGCATCGATAAATAAATATGTATCAAGCTTATGGTGAGGGCTAATTTTATGCTCACCAGATGTCACTAGTTGGGCACGCAGAAAGTCACACATTGTCGTGTCGCCATCATTTAAAAGTTGCGTTTTAAATAAACATCGGTTTTTAGTATATGTATTTGCTATAACATAATACTACAGTTGTGTGTTCTTTAATTTTATACTCATTTTGAACTCTTAAGTATTTAATTCTTCGTCTTTAAGGATTATACGTAGTTTGGTTTATTCGTTTCTACTCTAATGAATAATAAATTTAACTAATATTTCAGAAAGAACAATAAATTTTTATACTTTTCTGACTATTTAAATTTGCCGCTATGAGATTCTGTCAAATATTTCACGTGTGGTGGAAAGTCATTGATGCCCCCATTATTGCGTGTATACTGCGTGTACGTATTATATTGTTCACACCACACCAAACGTGGAAAGGAAAAATATACAATTATCTTACAGGAGGAACTATCCTACATACTTATACATATTAAAATTGAACGGGGCGTTTTGCGGTAGAGGGTGCCAGGTCCCACAAACTATATAGAAACACCAGGTCCGTAGCGACGGAGGGCAACGGCGAGAGGAACACTCCTAAGTGTCGGGTTGCTTGAGAGCCTTAGAGTATAGATACAGAGTGTTTAATCTTTTGCCCCTGATTACTATTCTAAATTGAACAATGATGACTATTTTACCGATTCATATTCACTAGCCAAAGACTTTACGTTTGAAATGGTAGATTAACATTGCAAATATACATGTCGCAAACTAAAACGAATAGACATTGTGGTATGAACTGATATGAGATGATATGGTACAGATTATTTCATTAATTTTTTTTTGTTCTTTAATGACTTATAAACACCATAAGCAAGTTGGATACCATCTATAATCCCGATTTTATATGCTGATTTACCACTTGCTCAGCGAAAAATGGGACCATCGAGAAAACTATAAAGTGGATGAAAATATTTCGAAATCATAATGTGAAAGTAAAGTCCACTACTGCGCACTGGTGCAGGACTTTGAGAACGAGGTATATCATTCCATAAGTATCGTAAAAAGCGGTAGAGGAAAATGAGCAGGAACTGTACAGCAGTATCTTCCTGATAAAAACGTTAAATAATAAAAATTAGCGGTTGCCAAACCACCTAATGAGGCATTCTATGGGGCAGGCCTATATTCGGCAGTGAATTTTGATGTGTGTGTGAATGAATGAATGATGCATAATCAGGTCTCCGTCGATGCCCCTCTGGGCTCTTCGAACCGTTGTCTGATACGGAGTACGGTGCCACTCACACTCCCATCGCAGTTGCAATCTGCAGCTTGCCGCCGTGTTTGGCACTATAGGTCGGCCGATTGGGACAGGATGCGGTCTTTTTTTGCATCCTACCCTTGGGTTTGACTCTCGCCGGAAGATCCCAGCGTTGTTGCCGATTCTGTTGCTGATGTGGTACTTCAGGGTATGGAACTTTTATTCCATCCTCTGTAGTGCCCATCGGAGGCAGATCCCAGCCATGGTTTCATCGCTCCTGTAAAATAACATCTCGCTATAAGCAGGAGTGCTACCGGGCCTGGGCTAACACATCAACGTCCCGGGATGTAAACACCAGCGCTCTTAAAAAGAAGTATAATTCCGCCTCCAGGTCCTTCAAAAGTATCATTGCCAAGGCAAAGTCAGAGCACATCGGCAGAATTGGCGAGAAACTAGTTCACCTCCCTTCGGGAACACGTGCATTCTGGTCTCTTGCCAAGGCTGTCCAAGGGAACTTCTGTGAGCCATCTCTTCCATCTCTGCATAGGGTGGATGACTCACTGGCCCATGACGCAAAGGAGAAAGCCGATCTGCTAGGCTCTCTTTTTGCTTCCAACTCGACTCTAGATGACGGGGGGAACACACCGCCGACCATCCCGCGATGTGAGTGCTCCATACGGGAATTGCTGTTTACACAGCGCTCGGTGCGTAAAGCACTCCTCTCCCTGGACGTCAACAAGTCGAGGGTGCCTGATGGAGTCCCAACTATTGTGCTGAAGACGTGTGCTCCGGAGTTGGCACCGGTTTAACGCATCGTTTTCGGTACTCCTACTCCCTAGGCGTAGTCCCGAACTCATGGAAGACAGCTTTGGTGCACCCGATCCCTAAAAAAGACGACC